CACATCCTTTTGTGGATCCCTTTTCAAACCAATAGTAAATAGAAACCTGAACTGCATTCTTTATCTGGTAAGCTCTTCTAGAAATACTTTGAAATAACTTAATATGTTTAAATCGTTTGCCAATAAAATCTGACAAAGGGATCGGAACTTTTCACAAAATCACAACAAATGGTCTAGAAAAGGATAACAAGTGATTGTGTAGTCTGTTCCACAAGGACTTTTCAGGCACTTCCTGGGTCATTTTCTCAACTAATTGCTTTTGGCAGTATATGATGAACTGGCTTGAATAGTTGAAAAAAGATGTTATATCAGCATTTGTATATGATGTAAGAGCAGTGAGCTGGTTACTGTCCTCCTCAGAAAAAACCTTAAATTTACCTAGTTTAGTAGTAGTGCTTTCTATTTGAAAATATCCTTCTGATAAAAGTCATGAAAACAAAATCCATCAGTCCTTCCAGATCAAGGTCTTTAACAACCTCCCAGTTCCCAGGTTGGCCAGTCAACAATAAATTCTCTAAACAGGGATAGATTTGGCCTTGTGAGAAGCTCACATGTACAACAGAAATTTGTCAACCAGCTACTTGAGAGATAATATTTTCAGCAAATTTAATCCCCTCACAGAAATGGATCAAGAAGGGGGGTGGAAGGATATGCCATGCTATACATTAGCATATATATAGCATATGCTTTAATGGCAATCATCCTCCAAATAATCTTGGGCCAGTGGTTTTTGGTATCCATTCCTCTTTACCCGTGAGAACTTTTTTTTTTTTTTGCTTTTTGCTTTCACTGAGAATAATTACTAGGGAAACCAATATGAAGCTTCTGTCAAAGCTCCACTAAGATTACCATTTCACTTCAATTTAAGTTTTCTGTAGGAAAGTGGAAATTTCATGGCAATTTCCTGAACTCTAAAAAAATATTCTCTTGGAAATGAAGAGACAGTTTTCCTGGCAGATTTTCCGTTAGGATCAGTTTAGCATTTAGTCTTCCAAAAAATGGCCTCCAAATACTTAGAGATCAGGACAGCCGTGTCCTCTGCCTTTTTCTCACAAAACAGTAGGATATGTTGCAGCTAATCAGAAAACAGTGCTTTTCAACTTTTCTTATTAGAGGGGGCCATCTAAATTTTTTTTGAGAGCAATCCCATGACTCTGCAGTGTTACTACACTCAGTTCAAAATTAGCATAAATTGACTGCTCTTATCTAACTTGCATTTTCCCAGTTTAGTTTGTTGTCTTGAACACTGATGTTGGGGTATGCAGGATGTGCTCTGTTTCCTTTTATTTTTCCCCACGCGTTTTGTGGGGCAACGCCAAGCTGAGAAGCAGTGGCATGTGCCCTCTAGTCCAACAGCATGACTGCTGCTTTGAGAGATTGCAGCAGGTCGAAAAAAGGGCAATAGGTGTACGTCAATAGTTTGAAAATATAGTTTTGAGCACAGTATGTCTTTTCTGTGGCTCCATTTGGACTTACTTAGCCTTTTGCTTCTGTTCTTGCCTCTTCTAATCTTACTTACCTCATACTCAATGACTCCTTTGGAAAGACCGGAAACTGCACTCTGTTCAGCTAACAAGAAAAAGTGGTGGTACTTTACTTTAGCTACCTGTCATTGAAAATGCAACGAAATTCCTGAAGTGAGGGTGTAACAGCAACCATGTTCAAGGACTGCTGCCAAGCAGTGACAGCTGTAACAACAGTGCTCAGCAGGGCAGCATGGCGGCCGGCTCCGATGCTTTTAGTCTTCATTCTTCTTTTCTTTAGGACCGTTTTATAGCCTAAATTTATAGTTCATTTAGAGGGGGGGAAAGAACACACTTCCCTTATTTGCACAACTGATAACATATACATTGGAGTATATCATGATTATGCCATCAGTCCAATTTATAAGAAGATCTGTAAATTTGTCACTCAGCTAGGCACCATGATGTAATTGGCTGAGCATACAACTGGGAGCCAGCAGGCTGCATGTGATTACTATTCACGTATGGTTCTTATGTACCTGTCAAAACCTACCTCCCTAAGTGGACTTCTGGACGAGTCTTTATTTATTTTAAGGCTTTTAGACTAGCATATATTTATTTAAACAAGATAAAGCAATTCTGATGTTATATCTAGGCAAATGATGTTATTTCGTTTTTAGTCTCCCTCACCTCCAAAATCTTCCTGTATTTGTTATCTTCTTCTGTTACTCTTATTTTAAATTAACTTGTCATTTCTTTTAAGCAAGACTTCATTGTTGTCTTCTAAAGTAAAATGAACATCTACAGCACTATATAGAAATAGGAAAGAGCTTGCCATTGTGTCAGGTGTTTAATACTGTACTGTCTGATAGATACAATACAATACTACAATTGATACTGCTATTGATGCTACAATAATATTATACACAGAGTTGTGAATCCAAACTCACTGTTCAGGAAGAATCACAGTGAGGACCTAAAACGAAATCAGCCAAAATTCTCCGCCTCTTTTGAAATTACTGGCTAGAATCTAATCTCAAGCATACCAGTGTAATTCCTGAGAAATTCCATTTAATTTAGTGCAATCCGGAATCATAGCATGGTAATTTAGGTGTGAACATATCTTATATACTAAAAGATAACAGTTAATCACTAAGAAATTCATATCTATATGAAATCAAAATCTGATCAAGAGTTTCTTCTTCTTCCCTTCCGTACAACACAATGTCTAGTCTACTGTAGTCTACTATATCTCAAAAGACAGATAGCACAATAAACAAGCAGTGGACAACCACACTGTTTGCACATGTGAAAACCTGGCTTTTTAAGATCCATTGCTTGTTTGCTAAACCTATCTGAAGCCTCAGTAAAAGGTATGTAGCCAATATTGTCCTGCAAAATACTTTAGGCACAATAATCCAAAGGAAACTGAATCTTTTCGAGAAGAATGATAGCATTGCTTTTTAAGAGCATTTCAATGCCTGTCACAATTCAGAAGGCAACAGACCGGAACTTGAACCGCAAACTTAGTCTGAAAAATTAATGTTTAAAAATGGCACCCTCTAACCAAAAAGGTCTGTTCCCTGGATATAATCAGAGCTATACTGGAGGAAAAGCATCTGGAAATGTAATCTTGCTAAGGAACACTACAAAGAATTCCTAAGCATTAGTCTATGAATCAAATCAAAGGGCATAAAATGAAATAAGATCAAAACATCTTAAACCGTAGGGCCTCTTTTACACTGACCAACTGTTATTTACAAGATTCAGGCAGTTCTCATGACCTGTGTGTTGTCAGAGGCAGGTAGACAAGGTTGCCAACATTGAAAAAATCGCTTTTCAGAAATGACTCACTATTTTGGCTCAATAATCCGAGACACCCCGAAGCTTCTGATTTTTAGAGAAAAGGCAGGGAAGAAGGGCCTGCTCATGACTTTCTGAAAGTAGACTTTTCAGAAACATCTGAAGTTGGTCATTCTACATTATTTACCATTTTTAAAAAATCCTGGTCACAGTTTGATCTGAATTATAATACCATAAATTAAAAAAAACCCAACAAATTTAATAGAATTAACCCAGCATTTACACTATGGTAATTTAGATCAGGATAGGATTCACAGGACATTTTAGATCCTAAAGGTAGAAATAGGAAAACATTTCTTTTTCTCATATATTCCCCCAGTGGAGCAGGATATGACCCAAGAAATGGTTTTCTGGACTGTAAGCTTTCAAGAAGAACAAACAATAAACTCTTCTCTCTGTTAGCATTGGATTTGAAATATTTTCAATAGGAAGAAAATAGGACTACGAGCATTACCTGTATATTTTAAAAATAATTTCTGCTCTGTTTGTCCTAGTATTACACAAAGAAGCAGCCTCTAAGAGGCATACATAATCACTGGCCGTGGGAGAAAATAATACAAATGATACTGTGCATGCATGCATGGATACGCAATGCCTTCGGTGCTGTGGACTTTCTGAGAAAATATCTTAATGAAAAAATGACTCAAGCAACTGGCTAGACCATTCTTTTAATAGCCTTTGGTAAATAAAGATCTTGGATTAAGTTGTTACACAAGTTTAATCTGGAAGTCACTCACCAAATTCGGTTCTGTTTTTCAACAGGGTAAATGAAGAAGAAATTTAGTTCTTTGGGACTGGGCAAGCCGCTTGATTAATATACTTCTGTGTCTGCAAGCACAGCGAGATCTGTGCGTGTTAGAAGTTGTGCTGGCTTTCAGACTGTTTCTGTTTATTGATAAGCTCCCTGTCCCCAAGCTTGACCTTGTCAGTGACTGTCCTCCTCAGTGGCGTTTTTTAGAGGTTGTTAAGCTGCCTGCTATTTTGGAATTTAATACAAGGAAATATGTCTGACTTTTCTGATGGTGCTGGCAGCTAGAATGCCATCTGTAAGAGTCTCTGCATCACTGGTATTCTGCTTATGTGCACAGAAAAATAGCAGGGAAGCTTTTAATTACCAAAGCTCTTAAGCCCTGGCCCCATCTATCAATTTGCTGTGAGTCAAAGGTAAGTCCAAATGTAGGGGAATATTGGAAAATGCGGGGAGTGAAGCCAAAGGCTGTTGGATGTGATTCCTTTATAAAATATATATAGAAAGCAAAACTGTGGCTCCAACTAATTTTGTTATTAAATGGGTCCCGTATTTCATTCCTTATCCACTCAAAGCTCCCCTGGGCTTTGCTATAGAATTATCATATTGGAATCAGAAATGGAGTTTATGTTTCAAAGTAAATAAGAAGGGAAGGACTGGGAAAATCCAATTTAAGAGAACAACAGCATAACCCACATACAACAAATACAATTGCACAGGAGTGAGAGAATTTTGCTGATGAGAGGGAAAAATGAGAAGGAAATGTATAAAAGGGCTTAAACTATATCAACTTGAGAGATTTCGTGATCACATTTCAAATGAATGCATTCTGTTACTTGAACATTTTCAAATTATTTCTTTTTTTTTTTTCTCACTGCAGCAGAAAGGGACAGCAGTGCTTTGCTGCTGTCAGAAAGCTTGAAAATTCCATGTAAAGGAACAACCAGGGCAGACAGCTGTGCACATTTATACTTGGCTTACTGAGAAAGACCTGCAATTACTGAAGTCTGATACCCACTACTTATCAGGTCTGTGGTTAGTATGTTTACTGAAACCACAGTAACGGTCCACAGAGTATATAGAGCTGGGAAAGGGCTGTGAGACTTTGCTTCAGGAAGCATTTTGCTTCTGCAGCATCTCTGATTTCTGACTAGTAAAGATGATGCCATTTCAGTATAACGAGATGATAGCCTAGATGCCATTTGACTGTTTCAGCATTCCTGGTAGAGCTTTGGTAGTTAGTGTTCTAGGGAGATCACATATGTCTGATGTGTCAATGGGCACTGGCTAGGACTACTTCTCTGTGGTTTGTGTGTTACCTTCTCCTTACTGTGTGATGTCAGTCTTTGCAACCACAAAATTTCTGCCAGTCTGCAAACCAAACTGTCTGCACGTGCCCAAGAGGCCATATGCCCGCTGATGGATTCACAGAGACATTGAAATCAGGCGAGCTATGGTAATTTATATCAGCAGAAGGTTTGAACCTGAGGATCTGCAAGTTTGAATATTGGGATGGATGGTTAGAAATGCAACGATCTGGTTTTGTGTCTGCATTGTTGTGGATGGCCCAAAAAATAAATTGATGCTCCAGAGTGCTCCCATACCATAGATTATTGTTTACTGTTTGTGCTTTACCAAAAGCAATATAGACAATTTTATTGTAAATTTTAGTAAAAAATTCAAATTGTTAGAAGATGTCCTTCTCATTAATTTTTCCTCTTCAGTACGTAGTAATGATACTTTTAACTTACAAGTCCATATTGTTAGCCTTGCCTCATCTAGACCCCGATGCTCATTCCTGGAAGTTTACAGTGAATAAAAACAGGAGCTGGGGTTTGAAAATCTGTCTCAAAGATCAGAATGTCAACAAAGCAGAAGCCTTTCCAGTCTAATTATAAAGGTCATTTCTTCGACCTTTGCTATCCCAACAGGCAGTAAATAAGCATGTCTGATTTTTTTAATATGCATTTACCTTTATTGTTTGTGTGAGTATCACAACAACCCTCTCCCACAGCATTCATGTAACTTAACTCTGTGGGGGAGGAATAAAGAGGAAATGTCACATGACAGACATTACTTCTCTTTGTTTAGTCTTAATTTGGAAAAGTGCTCAGATGCTGTGATGATTGGCATGGCAGGAATAGAAGAGGACAGCAGAGTAATTCTGCTTCTTGTGCCACCTTCCCACTCCCACAGAAATCCAGAGTCTAACTGAGGGCAAAATCTGTCCAGCCTTTCCTAAAATGAACTTTGATCTTCCTCCTACTAGACTTCCTTAGAGTAGGCTTGTGACCTTAATCCTTACTAGGATATGATGTAAGGAGAAGATTGCTGTTTCCAGTCTGCAAACAGGAAAGATAAGTTACTCACCCAAGAATACAGAGGTAATACTCCTAAGATTGAGATCGAGAGTTGTGTTCAGTCCATTAATCCACAGCATCTACAATTTTCCTTGAATACCACTATCAGTTTGCAAAGAATTGCTATTTGATTGTGAAATCCTGAGCGCTCCTATGTTGCATTATTAAAAAATTGGAATGATTAAAAAAATTCTGGGTAAGACAAAAAAATATGGGTAAGGTAAAATAAATAATCCTAAAATGTGCAAAACAGACCCTACAGGCATGCTGAGAGGCATCTTTTACTACAGGCAGACTACAGGCATCTTTTGCTACATTTTAGCCACATTAACTTTAGGAGAAAAATAGTAAATTCAATACCTTCTAGTGGAAGATAGTTTCTTCTACGCTCCTCCTCCCTCCATATGCAGGGTGAGAAATGTCAATTCCTTTCTGACATGGTAATGCTATTAATAACTCTGTGCAGAGGTGTAGGAAATCTGCCAACTTTACAGTAAAAAAAAGTACAAAACAATTAGACTACATGCAGCTCTTCAGATAATCTAACCCAAAATACTTTGAATAGCCCATTTAAGTGCAGTGTTGATGTCAAGTTTACCATTTGCCTCTTGATCTTCTTGGACCATGAAAGTGAATACATAATAGTCCCGTCGGTTTTGCTAGTAGTTATGTTCCTTGACTATTTGCCGCAAGGTGTTAGACATTTAATAGCTTGGTCCTGCAAGGCACCAAGTCCCTCCTCCGGGTGCTGAACTCCTTCAACTCCTACAGCAATTTGAGGCCCTTTTCAGCAGTAAGGATGGCAGCTGGGAAATAAACAGTGTTCACTTTCTCAGGTATTAAAGCTGACTTCTTCTAAGCATTATATAGGGTATGCTCCATTTGATGTAGTCCTTGCTGTGCATCTAGATATTGCTGATGGCAATAAATCTATCAGGCTTTAACACTATGAATTAGTGAAAAAATGAGGTGGGAGAAACATGCTTGCCCCTGGTCCCTGAAAGAGCCCCAATACCTTCAGAAATGAAGCCAAAAAGCAGGCTGAGAAAAATGAGTGAAAGCAGCAGGAATTTAAAAAGCAAATGCTACATCAAAGGGACAGGAAGGAACTGCAATAACATTGCTGTGATTGCAACTGGGCACAGTCCCAGGAGCTTGGGGAACAAGCACCTCCAATAAACAGAGCTGTTTCTGTACCAAGTGCTTATGAGGCGCTTATTGAAACATGGAAATAGGCTCAGTAAAAGGTGATGAGCATGCTTGTATTTCTTCTTCACAAGTATTTACTCCTCAGTCATTAGCAAATATAAAGCCCAACAGGACCCATTGTGCTGCCAGGATGAGATAGCTTTGCAAACCCTAGTAAAAGGATGCCCCCATCTACCAGTGCTAACCAGGCAAAGGTGCTGTGATGTGCCAGCAGGCCCCATGTAAGACTTGAGCTCAAGGGATAGAAATGGGATAGAAAAAAAACACGAGGCTTTTTTTTTCCCCACTTTATTTTAGCTTAATTCCTTCCAACTTCACGAAATGACAAATGGTCACATTTACCATACAACACCAAACCAAGCTACTATTTGACCGTTCATCCACGCTCCCTAGTCTCAATTTGAGAAACACAAGGGGAGAAATGCCTGCTTTTCTCTTTTACCAAAGAGGTATGTGCCATCCAAAGAGGATGTGGAGCCCTTCTAAAAGGGAAGAAAGGAGAGTCCAGTGATTCTTATGTGCTCACTTGTATGCCTGCCCAGCAGGAGTCGTGGCCAAGCACTCTCTGGATGTACATACTTCAAGGTACCTGAAGGCATGATTCTGCAAACAGCTATGCATACACTTTATTTTATATAAGTAGGCTGTTTCATATGTTTAACTTTACATGTATGAGTGGACCATCTGTGTCTGTAAAGTTTAAAATGTGCACAAGAGAAAGAAGAAAGATTACTAAGGAAAAAACATAATGCTAAAGCTAAACAAAAATCATGGAGTAATAATAATAAAAACTAACCACCATAAAAAGAAGCTTCCAGTGCTTTGGAAGGAAATGAACTGAAGAAGAGAGCCTTGCATTTAATTTTCAAAACAGCCACAAAAGGATTACTTGCTATTTTACAACCATGTGGTGGAAACAGACTCCCTGAAATGCAAGTGGTTAGAGTGCTGATGTGGGATCCTTGCAGGGCACAGCATTCCTTGGAGAGAGGAACAAGCGAAAAGCACTTCAGTGCCGATCTTAAGCTCGATACACTGTTTCCCGTCTATGGAGGGGATAGCAGAACTTCCCTGCCTCAGGAGAGGGGTTAGGGTTAGGCTGGGAGGATGTCTATGCAGAGTCCTTCAGCACCACGATAAAAAAGTTGTATAAGTACCTAATGGCAGGAGAAATGGGGTTCTATGACCCAAAGCAGAGTGATGGTAATGGTTTCAGATGCTCGCTATGCAGATAAATACTTTGCTATGTTGTGATTGAATTAGAAAACAGAAGCAATACAAGGTTTGCAGGATGGCTTTCTGAGCAACCAGCAGATGAAACCGATGCAGAACAGAGAGTTGTGATTTTCCCGTAGGAGCTCGCTGAGCTAGCCTGTTTTCAGAAGCCTCATTAGCCAAGGACATAAAGGAGGAGAACAGCATAACACAAGACTATTGACAAGCCAGAAGCAACATTCTTCTCTTTGATCCTTGCTCTAGATCTCTTATGTGTCATTTGGATATCGATCTACAGCATCCCCTGCACTTTTTTGGTGTAGAATATGCAATTTACTGTGATTTATAGTTTGATCAAAGAGATGCATTGATTGAGATGATTAAAGTAGAAAGCAGATCCATGTGTTTCTCTTTTGCACAAGCACACACAAGGGACAAAAATTAATCAAAACATTATTAGAAGCTGAGGAAGCCTCATATAACTTCATACAAACTACTTTGGTTGAAGGACTAACCGAGCGTATAAAGAGGGTGTTCAGGCTCAGGAAAGTAAACATATACCTTAGACCATTCAATTCTCTTATCAGCCACAGAAAAAGACTTGGTCACATGGCTCATAATTAGGGCAACAGGATCAGGTTAGTATTTCTCCGTTGCCTACCAAAAAGAGCATACCTCTGATGAATAGATTTATGATCGGTCACAGTGTTTTTTCAGGAAGCTAGAATTACTGAAGAAAAATTTAGCTTTATGCATCTCCTAATGCATTTTCTCTGTAATTCTTGAAAGATATTTTTTTAAACATCTTTTTCTCTCCATTGCTACCTACTTTTTCTTGTATAATACCTTCTTTAGAGATTTGGTATCAGGACAGAAGAATTTTTCTCCAGATTTACCTTAAACTTCTACATCTCAGTGAACTCCTTAACAGTTTTGTTGTCTACTCTGCTTTGTAGCAGTTAACAAAGGTTGCATTTTTTAGGAACTGAAAGTAGTCTTCCTTATCACTAAGTTTAACTTTGAAAGAGCAGGATCTGTTGAAATAGCCACATAATACAACATGCAGGCAACTCACATCGTAGCCTCTTACAATCATTTCCTACAAACCTATCTTCTCTTATCCATTTTTTTTTTTTACAGAAGAATGTAAATTTAACTCAATTTAATTGTGAGCAAAATAATCACAGTGAAAGCTAGCAGTACTCAAATTTGTGCCTGCTATTTGGGAATATAAAAGAGATATTTTGGGCATAAGTTCTTTATTTAACTCCCAACATTCTGATGTTTAAGCTCTCTTAACATAAAAGTTCTACTTGCCTTTCATAATGTATGTCTTTTTAAATTGAATTTTACACTCTATAAGAAATCACACCTGACTGTGTGTCTCATTCCCATAAGGTGCGGACAGTCTGACAGCGCTGACTGCAGACAGCGCTTGTGCAACCCGCAGAGCATCTCTGACGTTCAGACAGAAATAAGGGAACATGCAAGGAACAGAAAGACTGAGAGGAATACTGCTGGTCAGAGTAGCTGCCACCTCCTAGAACTGGAAGATGAAAAAAACAACCAATCAACCAAACATACTGACTGTTGAAAATGGAGCATATTGGGGCTTTCTAACCATGGCAGTATTACAAAGCTCATGACAACATTCTTTCACTCTGCATGTGCTGAGATAGCCCAGACTTTTTTTTCCCTCCCTCCCTGGAATTATATTCCTTCTCAACATAGAGGAATAACAACCTCTTCATAAGCAGACATATAGGCTATATTTAGACTTAGTTTTCAATATGTGCTGCAGCGGTTCCTCTGTCTAATGTGTACTCGCATTTCCTTTGTACAGGAAAAAAGGTTGTGAGTAGGTGGGACTTGATGACACCTAGATCTTGCTCCAACACTGGATGAAGCCAAGAAATGTATGTACCGGGATCTGGGAAATAGGAAACAATTCTAGATGCAGTCAGATGAATGCAGCCATACAGATCTAGAAATTCATGATATAGCTGGTATGTAGTTCAGAAGCACAGGACCAAAGCAAAGTCACACCTACTTTTGCACATTTCTACTCCTTTTATCCTAAGATCTCAAAATCCTTTAAAGGAACTAATGAATAGGGTTTTATAAATCTTATACACCATCAGGAAGAACTAGGAAGTATTAGAACAAGTTAAGAAGTCATTATTTTTTGCACACATAAAACGTTTCTATTAAAAAGCATTTTGGGCTTTTTATGATAAAAAACAAAAATGAACTGTTTACAATTGCATATAGGTTATTCTTTTTAAGTAAAAATATAAAGCATAGACATAAATGAATGTGTTTTATCATCTAGATTAAAAGAGTTCAGTCACTGCTAGTATGTACTGTAGGTATAGTTTTCCTCTGCTCAGGAGTAGGTTAATGATTTTCAAGTATATAAAATAAAATAAAAATCTAAAATAACAATTTTTCTCTAGAGTTTCCTATGAGTTCTGTTTGTTTACAAGATTATAAGATAGGTGAAACAGTGGAATATCTTACTGTCTGACTTCTGTACCAGCACAGTCAGTGCTTAAAAATGAGCAAATTTATAAATCAGTACAGACACTTACCTACTCACATTTGGGAAACTCTTTCCATGAATAAACAAGTCAGTATTTTCAGGTTCTACTTAAGAGCAAAACTTCTAAATAACAGAGAACTTTGAAAAAAAATGAAGTAAAATATTTAACTAGCACATTAAAAAAAGCCACCCTGTTAGTTAATTGATTACTTATTTAATGAAATATGTTAACTAACAAGAATTTTCAATCATGTTTATAGCTTGCGAACATGTTAATAGTTTTCCTAATGCTATTTTCCTAATGCGTTATTTTTTTTCAATGAAATGTGAATCTTTCGTAACACCTTTTTTGAAGAATTTGAAATTCAGAAAATTCTGAATGTCTTTAAAGCCTAACAAAAAGAAGATGTAAGCCTCCTTCTATCCACTGCACAAAGCTAATGCTATCTTTATTAACAATAAAAATTAAAGAATAAAAACTAAGACTAAAAAATGTGTTGATTCTATAAAACACTCTTAGAGATTAATAGTGATTGCAACCTGCTCATATCATCTACACATTACATGCTTGTTAGCATTAAGCAATATAGGCAACTAGAATGGAATGAAAAATACCCAATTAGAACTACAACCCCCCTCCCCCCCAACACACACACACATTTCTATGTCTTTTTCTATTTTTCTTTTTTTCTTCAATATAGCATCTGTTTTGTTTAACTGACCAGCAGAATTTCCTTTCAGGATAATACATTTTGATTGCAGTTTTCTTTTCCATTCCCATTGTTTAACAGAATAATCTTTTAGGAAATTTTGCAGAGACAATATTCCACAGCATGAGGCACTGGCTTTTAAAATCAGATGGCTTGGAAAGCTCACTCATCCAAGCACGCTAATTGGTTGATTGTTCTTGAGTGCTTTATCACGTTATTTCCAAGGGCTGCCCTAAATGCCAGGAAGTAAGCCGTGGTTCCGGTGATTAGTGCCAGAAATTTGAATGTTAATTATTACTGGGCTACATTAGTATAGCTGCTGATTATCTGTAACAAATTTCAGAAATAGATGATTAAAAGAAACAATTAAAATCTAATTATTTATATTATGAATGTCTGATCAATTAAGTACAGATATTGATTACACATTCTTTTACAGTTGTTCATAATAGCATGGAAAATTATCAATCTATTATTAAGATTTACAAATGCAATAGAAGACACTGTGCTAATGACATTACATACAGATAACAACTAGGATGGGAAAGATAATTATAAGTTTATCTGTAACATAAGAAATTTCTAGTCAACAGTATAAATTTTGTTTCTGTAAAAGTAAAAATTTCAGGATGATTATTTTTCACTTACTGAATGATCAATCTTTTCTGTAAATTGACATGTTCTGACATAAGCAATCTAAATACATTTGCAAATTTTTTCCGTTTAAATTGAAATTTATCACTCTACCAAATTATTCTTGCAAATTAGTGTATGTATATCGTCAGGTATGTAAGACTATCTAAGAATATATCTGTTAAGCTAGTACAATTCAATCTGAAAGTGTTTGCAGTCTAAGCTTGGTAATGTCTCAAATTTCTTAGAAACGCTAGTGATATGGATAAGTGAGATATAGCTTATGAAGGTTTGGCAGTTGTTTTGCATTTGGAAAACGTTATGCCATTCTGACAACCTCTGCACTGTTAGCTTTCTCTGCTTCATCACAGAGCTTGGTTTCTTACTGAGCATTAAGCTTCAAGATATTATTAATTCACATTCCCAGTCCACCATTTCATTTTTAAATAACTTTCAAAACACTTTATGCATAATAGTAGGGCTGTAGGAACTATAAAGGGTCAAACCCCAAAGCCTTCATTCAGGTGACATTTTTGTTCTGCTATATACGCTACCAAACTCAAAAGATATTTACTAGATAAAGCTTTCCTTTATAAAAGACCGTATCCCAGCATTTGGGCATCTCTGAACAAGTTTTATACTTTGTACCTCATAAACTCAACAGTTGGCTTGCCGTAGGCAATACCTCAGCAATAAAATGAGTATAACAAAAATGTAACAAAAAATCCCATCAACATTACTGACTTCACCCTTTCGCCCTGAAGTCCTTTGGGCAAGGGAGAAAAGGTGGACCCTGCCACATGCTTTGAGACTTAATACGCAAGGTCCTTGAGGCGCATAACGGGCAGCAGGTTCCAAAGCTGAACCCTGTCAGAGAGCATCTCCCAGCAGCCATCCTCGTCCTAATGTGAAAGAGCAGGTCCTTTCTGATCTCAGCTGTGGCATTATCAAAGGTAAATGAGTGCCATAAAGAAATATTTTACACAAGTAAACACTGTGGTTTATTTGTTACATGCAAATGCAAAAATCAGTTCCAAAAACAAAGAGCAAACAATGGAGATCCTAAAGCAATGTGCTTGTTAAATGCCATACTGCTGAGAACTGGCCTGCTGAAATATTCACCAGCTTTCGTCCTTGTATGAAATCAGTTTGCAGAGTGAATTGCAATAGTATAAACTGAAGCAAGAGGTATATAATGCTATAATTTCATAAGTGTTCTCCTAGAAGCAGTGGGACTTTTCAGACTATAAATCCAGTTCACAAATATTTGTTAGCCCCTTCCAATCAAAGCAGGTTATTTGTAATGAGAAAGGAAATGAAGTAAAAGAAAGACATAGCAAATCTAATGACTGCAGCAAAGTCTCTTCGTGTGATTAAGAGCATCTCCAAATTGTGTGTTTGAGGGCTCCCATTTGAGGCTTTTCCCTCTGGGCTTTCTGAAAATGAGCTGTGTACAGCCTGTAGTCTACAAAGGGATATATATTTCGTACAATTTTACCTGTGAATTCATTGCCAATAATAACATTGGAATCAAATTTCACAAACATTACTATGCTTTCAGTCATTTTAGTCATGACGTATGTAGAACTCTGTGCTATCAAAGCACTGTACAGACCTTGGATTATTGTCTAAATCCTCAAGTGAGTAGGTCAAAACACTTTCAAAAAAATATTTTATAAAATACTGTTTCACTGAAACTGAAATGTCTTTGGAGATACTGGTTTTGGTAACATTTTGAAGGGAACAGTTCTTTGCAAAAGAAGACTTGTAAGGAAACAAGAGCACTTGTTGATCATAAATTGAATCATCACTAATATTCCTTTTTCTAAATCTTTAGTTTCGTGTTGATGTAGGATGCAAGAAAATTCGGAAGCCTCAAAAATTATGCAGTAAGGGAGCTCTCCCTCTCAGGCACCTTTAATCGTTAATCATATCACATATGCCAAAACAGCATTAGCTGAAGGACCTCTCTATAAATTCTGATTCCTAAAGCCTCTTTGAAACTCAGAGAATCACGGATACAGATATTGTCAGGTTACCTGAACATGGTGAGTTTCTGGATGTGGTGTAACTATGTCCAGCTTTACATGAATAACAGTTTACTCTCTCTGTGGTCTGAATAATTGCCTTATCAGAGAGCCTTCTGGTGAAGGGCTATCAGTGAAATAGACCTATAATACCATCTTTAAAGTGAAAATATAAAACCAGAAGATTTACGGTAACTGATGAAATTGTTTCTCTTTTGGCAATGTTACTCTCTCTGAAAGTATTTCTAATAACTCTAGCAACCCAATCCATGTTCCAGCACTTTCTTCTTCATTTCTTTGTTTATTATCCTGACAGTTAATACATTTTTTAATGCTGAATCTCATGTAGATATCAAGGACAGTATTTATAGCAAGTATCAGTGAAACATAAGGACTCTGCTATTTTTTTTTTGGCACTGCTATCCCTTATACTCAAAATGCAAATCTGTTGGATAAGGACTTCAGAGTTTGGCCTTTGCTATTTTGTTATTCAGAAGCAGGACTGAGAAGACCAACAAGTTACTTACGAGTGGTTTTAATTCCTAGATATAAGAATTAGGAAAATTGCATTGTACTTAATGTCCCATAAAAGATTTGCATCCACTTAAAATTATAAACGCTGATTTCTCGTAGATAAGTATAAAATATGGTTCTACATAACATCAGAAAAAGCCATTTCTTATGCAATAGTGACCTGAACTATGTCTTAAAGTCTCAGAAAAGTTCACAAGCTTCATAGAGATCTAAACTTTTCTACAGTTTGACAGACAGATTACTGACAAGCTACTGTTACTGTAGAAATAGCTAATGCATATGCATAGGTAAAAAATTGTTATTATGTTAAAAAATTTACTTGCTGTTGGGTTCATGGTGAAAAACAATAAAATGAGTGCAGTCAGGAAATATTAGTTAGAGATGCAGGAATAACTACCAGTAACTAGATTCTAAAGTGATTTATCTATCTGTATTTAAACACAGAGGAATTAAACTCTTTTTTGTCTTCTATAAAAAAGAAAGCACTTAGCTTTTGAAAAAGAGAATAGAAAAATTCCCTGTCTTTTGTAAGCAAAAAGCTTCTTCCTAAAAAAAAAAAAAAGTAAATTAGAGGATATTACATAAAAAAGAAGAATAGAAAATACTTCTCACTCAAATTTAGATCTGAATAATGGAAGAAAACCAGATTTATCTCCAATGATTTATTTTATAGCTTGATAGCTGAAAAAAAGCAGTAGAAAATGTTTAATTACTATAATTTCAAGTTTTAGCAAACATCCGTTAAAAATAAAAAGTATATTACAAACAAGATATCCTTTAAATAACAAATTTAAAATAATTTGCTTAGAAAAGACCCACATTATTAACCTTCCAAAATTTTCTGCTTTTTTTTTTTTTTACTCTGTAAATATAATCACAGAAACTAACTAATACACAAAAGTGCTGCAATTGTGATAAATTTGATTCTTTTTGGTTGGAAAAAAAGATAGAAAAATGTCACTCAGCTTTACTTAGTATTTCTGGCATTGGATTGTCAACACAAAGGAAATTCAGACTCAGATTATCTCGTTATTTAAGTTATAAATTTTTCCTGACATGGGCACCTAATAGCTTTTCTTCTTAGCCAAATGTTATTGACACATAATATTACTAAAATGTATTTCCTTTTCTCTTACATGGCATTTTACTTTTTTTTTTTTTTTTTTTTGCAGCAATGCGCAGAAGCAGAAGTAAATCTTCCATTGAAATGCAGGGTTGGATATTTGCTCCTCTTAAGAGATGTGATATTTTCTGTTGTGATTAATTATATCTTCTTTATAATAAGTTTGTGTATTTTACTGCGATTTTGATGAAATAAGCCAATCACGATCTAACATGAAGACTAAAGGTAAAATATGAATTATTAATACTAAATAAATCAATTCTGAATATTTAATTCAGGTTGGTCTTCCAGTTATATTTGCCAGTGTTCAGGCTAGGTAGTATTTGATCAGGAAATATTAACTCCTTTGCAAGAAGAAGTTGTATACTTATCTTTGGAACAACAACAAAAAAAAAATTAGTGGAAACAGCCATTTTACAGAGTACTCTGTAATGTCATGCATGAGTAAGAAAGCGAAGAATGGCTCAATCTGAGAAGGTCAACATTCTCCTAAGGTGGAAAGGAAAGAAGTGGGTAATGTTGTACTGATGATTAAGTGCAGAACCCTCAGCCCACTAATATTCACAAATGAACCCAGTTCTGTACAGTTTTACACCCAGGGCAATTCACTGGATTCAGGCTGCCACAGAACAGAATCTGAGATCAAGTTTTGTATCACTGGGCTACTACTGCGGCACGTGGACCAAGGATGGTTAGGAATAGGAGATAAACTGCTTGGAGCAAAGTAGGAGCCTTTGAGCTCCCCTCGGAGAAAGCTTGGCTTTCTCTTTCACCACATCCATCACCAAATGCTTTTAGAACTTCACGAAGATGGGCAGGGAAAGAGCTGTACCCGCATCACAACTTCTTCCCCAACTAGGATGAGTTTTCAGCGTTGCTCGTCTGATCTAGTGCATCCGCTACAACTTTAACACAACCCTTGACTAGCACAAATAGCTTTTTTGGTTTGGACAAGTCCAGGCCATCCATCTCCTTTCTTTACCTGTTTTCTGATTATTTATTGTTACCGGTTATCCTCATATTAGCTGAGCTTTTGTGTATTTCTCACAGCATGGCAGCCCTGCTGGTGATAGTGTTCTGAAAATTCATATTTAGCTGATTATCCTCTATAAACTTCAAATTATTTCTTAGAATTGCCATGTCTGTAAGTATGGGTTATGCTCTTTATTCTCAGATACGTGAAATGTCATTTGACCACATTAAATAAATATTTTAAGCTTGCAAGCAGTTTTCAGCTCTAACTTGTAGTTGGTGATTCACTACATTACTCATTTCACTTGAACAATTTATTAGTAACGATTACATGTGTTATACTAGTTCACAGATACATGTTAAATTTAAGTCCAGGATCCAGTCCCTGTATGAGACTGTTGGACATATACCTTTCTGGCAATGGTTGCCCATAGACATACCTCAAAAATATAACAGTAATTCAGTCAATTTTAATTAATTTATGTTTTCTGTGTTGATTTTCTAGTTTTCTAATTCAGTCTAATAAAATATCTCCCCAAAACTGAAGTATATTAAATTGCCTCCTACCACTATAAGCATATACTAATATGTCAGTATATTGAAACTTGTAATTTTCCTTTTTTTTTTATATGAACCCCATTGATTATCATTAAACTGCTGACCTTTAACTTTTCATGAAAATGAAAAGCTGGCTTGACCATTCATTCCATTATTTTTCTTGGGAACAAAATCAGACTGACAGACCTCACATTAAGTAGATCATTTCTATTTATGCTTTTTAAACATCAGCACAACATTGTCTTTCTTCCAAATGTCTGAAACTTTGCTTGTCTTCTACAACTTACTGAAAAATCAGCATTAGCAATCAGCAAGGACCTGGGCCAGCTTTTAAAAAACTTTTTAGGCCTACCAGTACAAAATTACTATAAATGTAAATAAATTCCTAATCAGGAAATAGTCATTCTCCAGAATTTCAGGGCATTATCCTAGCGAATTGGGAACAATTTTTCTTATGAGTCATACTGGCATAACTGCCGTCAGCAGATGACCAATGAAATTCTTACGATAAACTTATTTTAGAATGTTGGCAAAATCGATGTTAAGCGGAAAGTCATCTCTTTCGATTTCCCAGTTGGGGAAAAAACACCCTAAAGAGATACATAAAGCTACCTAATTAGAAAAACCAGTAAAAATAACAAGTTGCTTTCTGAAATCAGTTCTCACAAGAAGTAAGGTTAATACCAGAGAATTTATGAAATGAGAACACATTTCTATGACTGAAACATTTAACCACAGAACTGAGCAGAAATATATCTGTTAAAAGCACAGGCATCAGATTTTATGTGGAAATTAAAATCAAAACTAGGAAAATGACTCAAATATTTAACAAAACACATGCAAAATTTAGCCCTGAGCTGTATAACCCAACATATTACCAGGCACTGACAATTGAAGCAGTACCACTAAGCTGCCTAGTTTGGCATTATCTACATCCAAAGTATTTAACACTAAAGTTAAAATTTCTTTAGAAGAAAATTTCTTTAGAAGAATTTGAGGAAGACACAGAGGATCAAATGTGTATTGCATTTTTAACAATGTAGAAAGCAGTGGGACAATTACAAAATACCCAATACAAAAGGTGTCATGTTCACCCATCTTCTAACCAAACATGATTAAGAAACAGAATGCATCAATTACAAGCTATTTCATGGAGTCTGTAATGCTCTGAAGATCTCAGCAAGCTAGTTAACTCTAGACCATAAACAAAATGAAGCTGATCTTGGTATACCACACAGGTTACCCTGTAATGGCCCACAGAGATTGCTAACTGCTCTTTACTCACTCTCATTGTGTTCCTCTTACGCATTAGAAAGGTTTTTGTTGGGTCAAACAGAAGATCCTCTTAGAGGCTAGGACCAGAAAAATGTTAGCTTTATTCAGCAGGTACATGACACTTACTAAGCTCCTGAATCAGTATTTTTAGCTATCAGAATTTGTAAGACCATCTTTTTAGCCAAATCGAAAACCATTGTAGGGACTTACTAGTTACATCTATATAACCATGATATATATAAACACATACAAATCACATCAAAGCTTTCCTTATAATTCACAGTGAAATCTTTTCTTTTTATGAGTAATGTGCTAGCCTATTTCCTTCTAAAGCAACAGTAGTGCCTTGTAAATTTTTACATCTTAGGCTAGAAAATGGAAAAGAAGAAAGGAGGAGGAATAAAAATGATCAGGCTCATAGTCTGCCTAAAAGCAAGTTCCTTCAGCCTAAGAAAATTATGACATAGGTTCACATAATAATTTAAATAGCAAAATATGCAGATAAGTAGCCACTAGAATTTTCAAGAGAATGGGGCGTTAAGTGCATAGAGGCTCTTGCAAATACCAATAGCAGCATATTTCTAAGAAAGGCAGGAAAATCTCATAGAAAATTTAGCTCTAATTTCTTAAGTGTCTTACAAAGCTGAGCAGAGCTACAACTAAATCTGAGCAAAAATTATCTCCAAAGAACATTAAAAGCCAGTCTTATTTTTAGTGGAGTAGTAAGTGAGCTCAGCTGAAGCCACTTCACATCTTATGTCCTTTGTGCATCATTAACCCCTTTCGTGACACTGAAATGCACTCCTAGATACTGGTATCTTCATCCTGCTTTGTTGCTCTTCGTACAGTAACATCAAATTCATATACGATTTTACAGGAAGTTTTATTGGTTTGTGGTTCCTAGTGGACTTTGATAACTCAACTAAAAAGCAATTAAGATTCCTGTCCATGATATCCTTGGGATAGAGTGAAATATTTCACT